GGAAACGCACGTGTAGATACCGCTCCCTGTTTATAGTGTTTTTCTCCGGCCGCGGCGGGTTCTTCTCCTCCTTGTTTCGATGGAGGGACTGAAGGTTTCCGATGCCAATTTGGTCGTTTACGTTCACCCTTCCAAAAGTAAGAAGGTTTCGCAGGCGGTGCTGCGGGAGCTCGGCGCTATGCTTCTCAAGTAAGTAATTTCTTTTACAATTTTGGTATTTCTTGTCTCTATATCTCTTTCAATCACAAGCTTTTCCAGTTATTAATAGGGTATTGCTCTGTTCAGCATCTTGATTGTGGATACTGTCTGTTAATGGTAGAGTTGGATTGGAAAAAAAATTGATTTTGCCTTAGTTTGTTACTAAACTAGACCAGTTTGGCTTCAGTCGCCATTTTCATGAAGTGGGCATTTTTCTTTCTTCTGTATTAAAGAAATAATCACCTGGGTTACAACCCAGGTGATTGCTTCAGCTGTTAAGTTCATAAATGTCAGAATGTAAGTTCCTGTGGTTTTAAAGACTATAGCTCCCAAGATTTTAAGAAAATTTTCCCTTTAGGGAATGTAGATTTATTTCATTCTCTTTCAACTACTCAAAGCCACGGAGTTTAAGCTTCTTGTGAATGTCGTTGCTGCTTCTTTTGCTCCATTTAGTCGGTACTCAAGTTCATTGATGTGGTAGATAAATGTGAACTTGTATCAGTAACTGATTTTTTTATATTGTGTTCCTCATCTAGGTTTGATGAAAGATTTGAAGGCGTGCTACTGGCTTATGACGCCAAAATTACTGATAAAAGTGCAAAGATTCTATCTGGAGTGCATCCCTATTTTGGCGTGACACTAAAGGCAAAACTTTTGCTTTTCTCTCCAAAACCAAACATGCTTTTAGGTTGGTTTTCTACGATCCTCATAGTATGTGGAAGAGATTCATTTGAGATTTGAAGTATCTCCTTTGTTTTCCTAGGAAAGTATTTGCATCTACGATTAAGTTGTTAAGCACTTTTTAACGTCGTTATGATTCTTACTCGCATTATGATGGTCAGTAGATCAATAGGAGACAATCTTTTTTATTCCTTTTTACCATGCTTTGCTGATAGTTTTGTTATCACTTCAGAGGGAAAGGTGGTGAAGCTTAGGCAAGAATCGGTCCATGTTATTGTCCTAGGTTTTGCTTCTGCTGCAATAACCGATGAAGACATTCGAGATGAATTCAAGCATAGAACAGTATGTTTCTTGCATTGTACTTGTAAGAAGGAAGTTCTATCATCTTTTCCTGATTCTATTATGCATTGATTTTGACTTAGAAACACGAGGAAGAAATGTTTGTCAGCAGAGCTCATAAGCACCATGTGATAAAGGTTGGGACAATGATACGATTTTTGGTGAAGAGGTTAGGTTTTCCTTTCTTTAGTTATACTTATTTTGTAACATTTAAGTGGAAAATTGTTCATGGAGTTCTCGTTCAATTAATCAAGGTCTGGAACACCAAGCTTAGATCTTATGGATTGCCTGCAGTAGCTTGCTGATACTTGCTCTTCAGTTATCTAAATATCTTGATATTGTAATAACTGACTTAGTTCAACCTTGCAGTTTTGATGAGGAAATATTGCATATATCTGGATCGTTAGTTCCATCTCACACAGGGAGCATCCATTGGTTGGAGAAGAATTCGATCGAGGGTTCAGTAACTGATAGGTGATTAGAAGATACTGAATCTGGGAGTTTTTAAGCTTTAATCCCCAAATCTATGATTCTGATTCTTTTCCCCCAATTTTTGTAGGAGAAGAAAGAAGACAAGAGACAACGAGGGAGAATCATTGTTGCAGGATAGTGTTGCTACCGATGTCAATGCACTTATCTTGAACAATGACCATCAGTCAAAAACCAAAAAGCAGAAAACTAGCAGAATATCTTGAAGGCTGCTAATTGACATACAGCATAGATCGTTTCTGTATCAGGTAACTTTTCCAACTCCATTTGTAGATAACTTCTGCTCTCAGTTCATGCCTAAAAGCTTCATTAACCAGAAACCCAACTGAAAAGTGAATTTGAATTTAGGGTGGTGATGATAGACATAGAGCAGAGATCCCCTTCCATGGTAGATCCTCATTGTTCTCCTCTTGTAAGAAATGTTATACCAGGATCTGTGTGGATGGATATGCATGCAGCTTCCCATTTTTGTAACTGTTTTGAAGAAATGGCCCAAATTCATATATGGGCTGTAGGCTCAATAGACATTGGTGAGTGAAAGATGTTTTCCAGCCCAATCTGGAGTATGTAGGGGAGAGGATGACAGATGTCAGCAACCTAAACACTTTCTAAAAATGTCTGAGATTTGGACATTAACACAAAACCAAACACCACACCGTTGGTTTATCAATCATTATAATGAGGATACGGTTTCGGGTTTACAAGTACATTCGATTTGCATCGTTGACTCATGATTGCCATTATATCATCTCCATTATAGAATAATTCATTATTTTCTTCATCATTATAAGGTATGGGCTGGGGGTGCTCTGTCGAGATCAACCCGCTGCAGGATGGAATGAATTAGAAGAGAGAATGGGTTTTCACAAAATTTGTGAACCGGGTTCACTCCATCCAACTCCCATGTGACCCATCACTGTTGTTTAATCAGATGAATACAAACACAGAAATATGACAAAGTTCTCGTTTTTTCCTTTTTCCTTTTTCCTTTTTCTGGCGAGAAAGCCGGATTTGTAACATGGGATGAACTATGAAGTAAGAAGTACAAAACTCTTCAATCCAATCAAACTACAGTTTAAAAAAATGGTGTCTTTTCTCCTCGCATCGTTTAATGTTACATTTGACCGTCTGTTAACTTGGAATCTGTGTTCGGTTCAACTTTCAGAAATTGACCCTTCTGCTCTGTTCCGTTCTGACATCTCTCTGTTTCTTCACATCAAATAAGGATTGTGAAGATCTTCAAAAGATATGCAGGGAAGATATGAATAAATTTCAAATTACATAATATGATTCTGAGAAAGAACCACCATCTCTCTGTCAGAACTCTTCCACGTTCTTCAAGTTTTAATCTTTTTCACGTTTCAAAGAGCTTGCCAAACCAAACCCCCCTCATCTCATCTCATCCCTCCAATATTAATTAAATCAAAGTCCTCTCAAATCTAAATGATTGAATGGTTCAAGACCAAGCTTTATTCAAAGATATTCCATAAGGTCGGCTGTGAATGACAATCTTCTAGTTGGTAATATTTGAATGCGATGTTCAAACTGAACTCCTCTTTCTATGCTGGCATCTCTTATTGGGTATCTAATTATATGAGGGTTAAATAACTCCAACGACCCAAATCTAATGGGCTACCTCACTAATCATTATCAATCATTTGATGCCCTTTCAAAAATTAAGGGCGATGATCTGTTTCAGAAATAATTATGGTTTGACTGAATCCACAACCAAACCAACAACGCCTGGAGGCTGGAGCTGCGTTTGACATTCTAGATAAACAGATAACCAAGATTAATTAGGCTTCCTAATGGAAATAAAGTTAATTAAACCTGTTGCCTTGATTCAGAAGACAATCTTTAAGGGATGGACAAATGGCAGAGATATAGGGAGAGCGGCGGAGCAAAAAGAGAAGGCTGAGTTGTGCCACCATAACAGCTAGCGATTAGCAAAGCGGCTACATAACGTGCTATTCTTTTTAAATTGTTGGATATTGCATTCTTATAGTTGGTTGTCGTATTCGAAGGAGAAGTTAAAAAGGGTTAAAATAATATTGGTTTTATCAGTTTGAGGCAGGCGTCGCAGGCTGTGGCCAATATATAAATAAAAAAGAAAAGGGGATAAAAAGAGGGGTTGTATGATTTGACGATGGATTTAGATGATTGAGTGAAATGGGGCGGCGGAGGCTTGAAATTGGGAAGCATGCATGGATCTTATGGGCTCTCTGCTGTGCTCTCTGCTGCTACGGATTCCTTGGAAATGACCACTTCGCAATTTGCCAAATGGGGTGTCACAGATAAAGTTCACACACACACACACACAAAAAAGAGACACATTCATCACTTCAAAAGCTTTTTATTTTAATCATTGAGTTGTGAAATATATATTTAGCTGAAAGTTGAGAACAACATTTTATATAATTTGTCCAATACAAAACGAATCTTCTTCTTGGGGTAGTCCAAAATATGCAATCCAATGGAGGAATGAAACTGTGTGCGGGTGAAGGAGGGAATTATATTGGTTGCAAAGTTAAAAGTAAACAATGAAAGGTAAATAGAGTTATATATGTGTATATATATAATGGCACCGCCCAAAAAAAGGCAAAAACAGGAAGAAGAGAAGAGAAGAGAAGAGAAGAGAAGAGAATAAAAGGTAGCCAAGTTGTGGACTGATGAGCGTGGGTTGACATCATTATATGAAAAACCAACCCAAAAGTACCATTTCTGCTGCTTCCTTAGCTTTCAAAACTCTCAATACCCCAATCAATTTTCTTATTTTAATGCCAACAAACAACAACAAAAAAAGGTGAAGGAGTTGGTGATGTTAGCCTCCATAAAGTGGATTCTTTGTTGGAAGAAAGATTTTTCATTTGAAATATGTACGTGAGTGCAGTTCTATCTGTACTGTTTTCTAACTTTTGGGTGCATGGTAGTGAGATATTGACGTGGTCCGCTGCCTTTTTGTTTATATACATAGACTTCATCTTCATTTGACGTTCAAAGTTTACATCTTTGCTATAATAAAATCAACCCCACAAAAGTTTCCACTCAAATTTGCAGTTAAATCTGTATCAGTATCAACTTCCTTAAAACCTTTTCAGTTACATATCCAACTCGTTTGACCAAAAAAAATGACCAATTTTTGCGTGAGCTGATCGGATTCTTGACCGACGAACAAAAGAATCTCAGTAAACCACTTCAAAACCCTCAAGTGAATCTTGGTCCCATCTATACTCAATGTGAAATAGTTTGTTCGCCTACGTGCCCAGAAAATGAGGCGTAACTCTCTATTCGTAGAGTTTGAGCTTCCAACAACAATTGAAGGACGGTTACTACAATCCCACAAATTACGGTGCCTTGTAGAGAACAATGGTTGGTTTGCGACAAACAACAAAATAAGCATCGACTCGTTTTTCTTACGAGGGAGAGCTGATAGAAGCTCAATTGGTCAGCTCGACCTCTAGAAAACCTCGCGCAACCGACAACTTTAGACATGTATGGATTAGATTTTTTAGATGGTCCAAATGATTTACTTTACCTCTAAAGACTTGTTATTAAGACTATGTCAATTAGGACGGCAACACACCTCTAACGCAACCTTTCTCCTCTCCAAAATGTTAAGGCCTTTCAAAAAAATTTGTTATTTTGCATTTATCTCCTAATGTCAAATATTTAATAATAATAAACACAAAATATATAGTTTTTACCAAAGACGTATATATATCTTTTCTTTCCAATCTGACCAGTGAGGAAGTGATTAATGGAAATTAAATAAAATCTCAGGAAGCATATATCAAATACGAATCTTATCCAAAATCATATATATTTACAACGTAATAGCTACAAAATAATGAGTCAAATAAAACAAAACCCAGCTGATTAGTCACCATAAAACCACATGAACAAATTAAAAGAAGAAATTTTGAAAATTTCACTTTGCAGAGACAAATGATCAGAGAACTAATTAACAAAATTTATAAATTAAGATGAATTCTGAGTCAGTTAACCGCTGGAGTTGTCTGTGTACGGCACACACCGAAAGTTGGTGAAAACGAAAATTAAAAAAAAAAAAGTAATTACTAAAATAAAGCCCACGTAAATGGAAGCAAAACGACAGCGTTTCAAATATATATATTTAAAGCGAAGAGTACGCCATGTGCCAGCTAGGGGAATATTACAGTGCGAGTGTTTATATTAAATATATATAATGTTTATAATAAACATATTATATAGTATTGCCTAGTTTCCAGATTTTTTATTTTAATTAAGATAAAACTAATTTAATTTAATTTATTGGTAGTGGAAGAGGATGAAAAAGGGTTGATGAGATTCCTTTACGACAACAACCAATTGTACTCTCTTTTCCAACTTCCAACAAAAAGTTTATAACTACGTACAACAAACGACGTGTCGGATTATATATATATATATATATATATATATAAATTTATTTATTTTAAGGAAAAGTAGTACTAGGGTTGGGTTATGATTTTATGAAGGAAGGTTTTTATTTCCTTTTGTAAGATCGGAATAAATCTCAAGTACAATTGTGGATGATGTAAGCTTATGTACCTTAACAACATCAAATACTGCTAACCATAGTTAAAATTGTCTCCTTTTCCATTGCTTTCAATCTTCTTAATTTCATATTTTCGAAAATATATGTTCATAATAAATGCTTTAAGGTACTGCAAAATACTATGTCAGTTGTACGTGTTTTTCCAGACTCCATGGAAAAAAATAAAATGAATTAAATATTTAGCTCCATACATATTTAAAATTCCATTCTCTAAGTCTTGATTTCACTTTTTTCAATGAATGAATGTTGTAAGCTCAAATTTTATTTTATGTTAAGCTTATCACATATATTTTTCCTTCTCATATCTTAATTTAATAACATTGCAAAATGGCTACATCTATTTAAACGGGAAAAGGCACTATAATCATTTAGTTAAGAATTAATCATCATTTAATTTATGGTGGTAAGTACAAGATATTGAATAATAAAATTTGATTTTAGAAAAACATCATCAATATAGAAATGTACCTACAAATTACAATAGAAAATATAGTTATAATGAATATTTGCTGGAAGAAATGAATCCAATCCATCATTTGAAGTATACCAATTAATAGGTACGAGAGAATTAGCGATAAATGATTGATTTAGTCATTCAAATGAAGTAATTTACATGGGCCTATCAAAATATATAATTTCTTACCATTGGGGCTTGTAAAAGAGTATGGATACAACATTGAATGTTGGATATTTTACCAACATCCAAGACACTTATCTTTTATTTTTCTAAAAATTGAAGGTTCAAACTCACACCATAATTCAATTTTCAACCACTTCCCATAGTTATTAATAATAATTGATTGATACTATTCAAAATGACATGTTGAAAAATTCTAACAAAATAACTACATCATTTTTAGTGTGTACGGATGTATGTATATATATTCTTATTCTTATTTCACATCATCATTTTTTTAATATTTGGTCATAGGAGTAACTCGACTAAAGAAATTTATCCATACAATACAAAAGTATGACATAAGTGGTAAGGATACAATTATTTTCTAATTTACACATCATCATTCTCATTTTTTTTTTAATATTTGATCTCTTGACTGAATAAATTTATCTACACATCAACAACAAATAGAAAAGTTGACACATGTTGTAAAGAAAAATTATAAACTTAGTTT